CTGTTAATGAATCAACTAATCATTATTTATCATACTAATTTATATTCATATCATAATAATTAATATATAATTATAAATAATTTTTAAATCAAATAAATGTAAAACCATAAATACATTTCAAAACTTTATTAATTAGATCACCAACAAAAACTAAAAGATCAGACCACTAAGTATTAAGTTTCTTTCTGTCCTCAAAGTATTAAGTTTCTTTCTGTCCTCAATGTTTAATGAAACAATATCAGATTTATCATTAAGGGTTGTAACACCTTTCAAGAAACAGTTATTATTGAGATAACTTTTGTAATATCTATACTGTCTGTTTCTAAATCAAATGGTAATGTTGAATGCAAGAATAAAATTAATTTCTTTTAATAAACAACACATTGAAAACGTTTTTCAGACTTTATCATGCTGTTAATTAGTAAATAACAAAAACAAATAAACTGGAAAAGAGTATCACCAGGATAATTCAAATTACCACGTGAAACATAATCTGTAAACTCAGAACTAGCTGACTATGATGTTGTTGTATCAACTACTTGCTGCGGATTGATCTTGTGCTGTACATAACCAGCCATATAAAAAAGGGCAGCATACTCCTGATCATTAACAGATTCATTCATGTAAATAAATAATCTCTTTTTTCATTAGATCCATTGTGCAACAGTTTGAATGTATGCATGAGCAATGAATGTCAGTTTCATTCAAAGAAACTCAAAGAAATTTCATTTAAAGAAAGCTCCTCTCGTTTCTCTGCGCAGCGGCCTTGTTTGTCAAGGTTCGCGTTTCGGTGTTATAGAGTTGAGAGAGCCACAAATAAGTAGCCTCCTCGTCTGTAGTGGCCTTCTCAGCCTTGAGGAGGTGAATTAAAAAAAAACAATTAAAAATAAAAAATAAAAATAAAAAAAAAACTAGTTTGCTAAATAATTTTAACTGCTGAAGGTGCAAACTGTTCAATACGTTCTGCTGAAATAAAATAATAACCACCGCTTAGTTGTCTACAGATAAGCAAAAAATTTACAAAAAGATAAAGCCAAATAAATTGAGTTGAACCTAACACTAAATTATAGTTAAAACAGCAACTATATATAATAAAAACGTATTGTTTAACTTATGTATGTTAAAAATGAATACTTTTAAGTAAATAAATGAGAGAAATTTTTTTTTTTTAGATTTTAAATCTAAAATATTTTCTTAACTATAAGTAACACAAAAAATAATTTTACCTGTAGATGCTGAATTCACCTTCAAGGCGATCTGTTTGAAAAATATCAGGAAAAACATATCGGTGATCTTCTGAAAGGAGTTTTTTCATTAATTCTACCAACCCTTGTAGGGTTTTAACTAAAGCATGTTTTGTTTTTGGTGTAAAAGTATTATGATGCTGGCATGCTTAGAAGTTGCATTAGGAAATGCTAAAATTTCTTTAAATCTAAGGTCATCGAGTGTCTGGAAAGAAGACTTATTGGTATCATTAAGTAAAACATCACAATCTTTTCTCTTTACACTTAACATGTTCCATAATGAAAAAATTGGTGCCAAAAAACAGGCAGTGCTCTCAAAATTAGCTAATCTTAATGCTGCAATGGTTTTTTCATTAAATACAGCAACCATGTTTGCAACATTTTGTTTATCAATCAAACTAGGGCACACTGACTTGCGTGAAAGCTTTGTAGTTTTGGCAACACACAATTTTTGTCTGTTATATAATTGAACAATGTGAGACCAATCACCAGAAAGAAGTTGATTAATAGTTTTTAAATTTATTGTTTATGTTTTTCCTGTAAACCAATTATTTCTTATACTTTTAAACAAGTGAACTGGGTCGTGTAGCATAATAACTGGTTTTTCTTTCTCTAGAACACCTTGCCATGGAAAACTCTTATTAACAACAAAACTTTGGTAAACACTTCGATTTGTAGGATGGTTATCTGATAAGAGACACAATAATTTTCCTCCTGCATCAATTATTTGTTTATTTATGTTAATGATCAAATTGTGAAGAAAGTGTACTGACAGTTTGAATATTGGTACAATTCTACAAGCAAAAGAAGGTTTACCAAACATATGTTTAATCATAAAGACTAATAACGTTTTTGCAATTTTAGTTCGATAGTCTTCACTATATCCAATGAGGTGTCCTCCTCTGAAGCTAAGACTTGGTTTGATATACATCTAAGAAAAGGTAGCAATGCTTTTCAGAACTATTAAAGTTTTCAAAAACAACTTTGTATCATTGCACTCTTTTTCATTTCCAACCTCTCCAACTCTTCCTAATTTTGAAATGAGAGTCTTTGGACTGGGCAAACAAAGCAGATTTCTTAAGTGTCGATAACAACATCTGGAAGACAAATACAGTTCAAGTGCACAACATATGCATAAAGTTGAAAAACAACGTCCATTTAGAGAATAAGTGATAAGGCGTAGTTGTTCAATGAGGAAAGAAATTTCTTCAGAAGTGTCACTGTATGTATTTTCAATTTGACTAATCAAACTTAATACATCATCTTTTATTTCAGGAATAGAGGTACAAACTCTGAAAATAGCTTCAAGCTGTGACCAACGAGTAAGACAATGGAAAAACTGAGCAGACCATAGCAGTTAACTTTAGTATGCCTACAATAAATTAACTTGATATGAATGACAATTAATTTCAACAGAAAATATTGTTTTAGGCAGACATGATTGAGAAACATCAAACAGTATGACTTTTAAATTTTCAATGAATGCAAAGTATTGAGGATATCTAAAATAGATTTAATAACAAGTAAACTTTAAATTAAAATAAACCATTATCATAAAACAAGGGAAAAATCATTAATGTTACCTTTCTTTATTTAAGACATTATTATTTCAACATCATAAAATCTAATTAAGTCAATTTGATTGAAATCATCCATTTCATCAGGTATTGGATTTCGTGATGTCAAAGAAATTTTATTTATATTTGTAGATCTTGGTTGTGTTGAGGCTGTTTTGCGCACCATTGAAGATGTGCATCCAGGAAAAATAGATTGGAGATCAATAGGAACCTAAAAAAAATATATTAATAAAGTTAGTTATTGTATTACAAATATTGAAAATTATTGGAAACTTGTAAGCATAAAGCTTTTCTTCTGAAGTTGATGTTAAACAATTTGTGGTACGATTAACTGTTAAAGGTTTTCTTGGCATGGTTATAACTAATAATAGTAACACCATTATTATTTATTATAAATATGACATTACACTTAGTAACATTTAATAGATTCATAACTTAAATAAATGACTTAAATTACAAACTACTTAATGAAATTTTTTAATTTTACTACTTTAAAAAATCAAGGAAATCCAGATCTTTCAATAAAACTAGCAACCTTTTTTAAAAAAAAAAAGTTTATTTTTGACAAAGGTTGTAAATATCTTCCATATTTCTATTGCATTAATCTATACTTTATCAGCACAATACTGATAAAAAATATATACATTATATGTGTAATATAAATTTATATCACTTTAACGTAATCTAAATTGTGAATATAATTAGATTAATGTAAGTTTTTCATAACTTCTTTGTTAAATCAAACTAGCATTGCCATTTATGATCAGCCCTGTTGTTTTAGCATTGATTTGAAGTTTCGCGTCCTGTTATTTTAGTAGTTCCTGAAACAATAAATACTAAAATATGTTATTATTTAATACTCGTTTTATCAATTAAAGTTTTTTTTTTCAACCTTGCAAGACTTTCAGAAGCATGTCAAATTGGAATATTTATCATTAAGTTTTGAGAAGAGATGTGAGCTATGCGTATATGAAAAAATGCTTTGAATAAATATATTTTTTTTTAATACAAGGAGCGTCTAAAAGGTACATCTTCAAAATAAAGCCAATAATTGTGTAACTAGAACATATAATTAATCAAAAATAACAAAGTATTTTTCATGTTTTTTTGTAAAACTTTGTACCTAATGTAAACATTTGTACCAAGAAAACTTATGAAAAATTTGTAACTAGTATTTATTTTTTTTTAATTCAAAAAGAAAGATTTAAAATAAGAAGCATAAGCGCTGCACGTTTTAAATTTCTTCATGAAAACTATAATGAAACAAGTTAAAAAACAGGCACTAATTTTTATCAACTAAAAAAATCATATTTTTTGTGAAATTAAATACTAATACGTAATAATTTTTCTTACTCAGTATTTGATTTAAAATGTAGCTAAACACAATACTTTTAAAAAAATACTAAAGTAAAAGTAAAAGTACATATTTAAAAGAATACTTAAAAAGTACAAAATTAAAAAAAAAAAAACTACTCAATTACAATTTTGTAATTGAGTAGTTTTTTTTTTTTGTAAATTTTGTACTTTTTACAAATTATGTACTTTTTACAAATTAAAAACAATTTTACAAATTAAAATATTTACAATAATACAAATTACAAATTTTGTACTTTGTACTAATTACATTTACTCACACTATTTAGTGTGAGTAAATGTAATTTGTTCCTTTCCACCTCTGGATGATATTGTATAATGCAGCTGCTTGTGAAACTCCCTGTCTATAGAGCATAGTTAGCTCTTTTCTTGAAACTATAGCAATTTGATCTTCTTTTTTTGATCTAGCAGATATGGCTGAAAAAATTGTTTTATTGACATGATTGATAAATAACCCATCAGTTTTTAAGTTTAACATCTATAATTTTAAACTTGTGAAAGGTTTGGGCAGATTTCCATAAAACTATTTTTTAATTTAGATATGACATTATATAGAGCATAACCTCTTTTTTACAACAACTTTCGGACCTGTTTTGCAGATCAGCGCTGAATATTTTTGTTAAACTTAAGAAAATTACCTTTGTAACCATTTTTCATGGTTTACAACTCCTCCTTAGATTTTTGTAATATTTTTTATTCTCCAAGACAAGTTGTATATATTGTATAATTTTTTAAAAATAAAATGAAACTTCTTTATAAAATTTTTATATTTCAGAAAAAAATTTGTATATATTTATGCTTTCAGATTGTCCATAGCACATCAAGGAAAGATTTTGCGAATGTATATACATGTGTTGATGCTCAAATGCGTAGTATTGTTGAGCGAAACGATGTCAATGTTCACTCTAATGTGTTAAAAATCCGCAACCAAATCAAATCTTTAGAAGAATTTATTTTTGTTCATGACTGTGTATTAGAGTTCATTCGTGTAAAAAGCTTTGAAGACATCTCTATTGAAAATCTATCCAAATACCTTGATAGCATTAAAAAAGAAAGTAAGTGATTAAAAAATTAAACGAATATAAAAAAATCTTAACAAAATATTGTAACACTGTTTCATCACATTTTTAAACAATTTAAAATATATTCTACAAAATAAATTGCTCAATGTTTTTAAAAGAACAGAGCAATTACAATTTAGTAGAAAATTACTTAACAAAAAAATTTTAAATTTAACACTGTGTTTCATCAATCAAGACTCATCATTTCTGATGAATAATTATATCAAAAATAAATATAACAAGTAACAATGTTAAATGAAAAAAATGTGTTTCATCTTTATTGATGAAACACAGTGTTGAATGAAAAAAAAATTTGTTAAGTGATTTTCTTTTAGTTTATGTATATATATATATATATATATATATATATATATAATATATATATATATATATATATATATATATATACATAAACTAGAAGAATATACAGCACATACATCAACTGACAAATAGCCTTACTCACAGTGGAGTGCTGCTACATCGACTGAGGGTTTGGGATGGGGCAGCAATCGTTTCATTTATCATTCTTCGAGCACTCTATTTTGTAGAAATTGAGCACTCTATTTTGTAGAATACATTTAAAATTGTTCGTATATATATATTAGGGTTATCGCTTTTTAACTTTGTAAAATAATTAATTTTCTGTGTCATAAATTGATGAACTTTAGCTCAAAATTTCTGATTAACATTCAAAAAATTACCCGCAACACGAAATTTTTAAAATGGTATATAAGTAATATTTGCATTATGTCTTTCTAAAGCCTAGAGTTTTCTGGAACCTTATGAAACTTTTTTGACACCTAAAACAATCCAGATTTTTCTGGAGTCTTGTAGAAGTTTGTAGAATTTAACAAGGTTTAGAATATTTAGGCTGCGTGATTGAGCAATGGTAATAATTATATATGAAACTGTATTCACCAGATGGCAATCAAATAATATAGAAGTACAGTGTCTCTTATATTTATTGCTATTGCCCAGAAGATAATACTTGATTATATTTTTTCAAATATAATCAAATATTATGTTTAATCATAATGGCCTGTAAGAAACGTGCTTCCACTACTGAAAGAAACAAGGCTACTGATACAGATAAAAATTAAGATAAAAATATAAGAAAAAACTGGATCAAGAGCTGAAGACATAGGTTAAATGTGTAAAACACATTAGAAAATTCTATTGAATTAAGTTTTTAGCGTCACAAAAAAAGATGGTGAATGGTTCTGTAGTGAAGACAAAAGATTTTATCATCTTCAGATTAAAAGCAAAGAACATGTTGGGTATACAAATAGAAAGGCTTCTAGTTCAAAAACCATCCATCTATCCAAAAAAAGAAAAATTTCCCTGATGCCTACTTCAACAACAGTAACAGCAACAGCAACAATGTCAAATTTCTTGATAACATAGAGTTTTGATTAAATTCATATTTAAATATGGCATTTAAAAAAGCTGAAGCAATATTTTACCACCAAACGCCCTTCCTTCTTTTTGATATGGCATTCGTGGAAATGAAATCGTCAAAATTAAAGCTCAACAATACTAAATTAACAAAATCATTTCAGCCACTATCTTTATATGGACTAAATGCTTTGAAATGTATTTATTTTTATGCAACCTCTTAAGAAAATAAATTTGATAATTTTAAGGTATTAGTAGACACGTACAATCCACAAATAATAGCTGTTAGTGAAACATGGTTTAAAAGCATCTTGGTTGTAAATCTAAATGGTTATAATCTGTATAGAAGAGACAGATGATGGGCACAGAGAAGGTGGTGTTTGTTTATATATTACTGAGACTATTCAATCATTAGAGCTAAGCGATGCTGTTTTTAATTTAAGTAAAATTGAACAATGGCTACAGTGTATATTGAAAACAACAAGTATTTAGTTGGTTATATCTGCAAACCAAACGATTTTTTTGAGATGAACGATTTTGATTTGGTTTTTAGAAAAACTAAAGACTATATTGATAGAAAAGGATACAAAGACTTACTAATTACAGGGAACATTAATTCGATTGTATGGTCAAATGGATACATCACAAACATTAAAAATGAAAATGGCATTGAACATAACTTTAGCGAAACTCTTAGCTAAACACTTCTGTATCAGCATGTATATGTTCCAAATTTTCAAATATCAAATAATTCTGCTACTAACACTCTTGATCTTATCTTCCCAACTCAGCCGGGAAGCATCTGCGCTATTGATCCAAGATCTGTCCTCGGTAACATAAATAAAGGTCATATGGTTATCTTTTTTGATTTCCTTATTAAAAATAGGGTTAATAACTTATTGCACAGCTACTTAAAGTTTAATTACAAAAAAGCTGACACCAATAAAATCTCTGACTTTATTACAAATGTTGATTGGGTAATCCTATTTGAAACTTTATCTGTTTAGGAAATGTATGACAAACGAATTCACTTCTCAAATGCAGCATGTAATCAATTCATTCCAGTGCTTGATGTATCTCGAATAAAAAAACAATTGCTCCATGGATGAAAAAATGATCTTAAAACTCTAAAAAAAAGCAAAATCTAAGATAGCTGAACTGTGCTTGTAAATGGAAAAATGTTACTATGTGTAAAGAGTACAAATTGACTTGCAAGTTAGTTAAAAAATAAATTAAAATAGCTTGTCTTGCATATGAAAATGAATTAGTTAAAAGATTCAAATAAAATCCGAAACTTCTGTATAAATACCTAAATAGCCAACAACTAGTCAAAGAATCAATCAGAGCCCTAAAAACGGCTAATGGTAATCTAACTCAAGAACCTAGAGAGATAGCTAATCTACTCAATAAATGTTTCCAAGATACAGGCCTTGTTACGAGATTTCGCTGCATAACGGAAAAGCGAAAGCGAAACGTAATAAATGTAACTTTACACAATAAAGATATTTACATTGTTAAAAGTTAATTTACGTCAGTTCCGTTTTTACTTCATTGTAATTAAATTTAAGATGACATTAAAAACTATTGTTAAATCTTTGAAACGAAATAGCTTTAAATTGAACAATGTTGTTATAAAAAAAAAATTTCAATGTTGATTAAAAAAAAGTCTTCTTGTATTAAAATCTTATACTTATTTAAACTTAATTTTTTTTACTTTTAAACATTCGTATTTTGGTTGTTTTTTTTTAAATAATATAAATTTAGCACTTGTTTATGGTTGATTTTCTTAAAGGGGTTTGAATGTACTTATAACTAAACGCATAGATAGGGTTTTCCTCTTTTAAAAAAAACGTTTGCACTAACTAGTTTTGATAAAATAAATGATGTAAAGAAACGAAATTTACTGCTTTTTTGGCTTTGTTTTTTTTTATATTTCTATTAAAATATTTTATTTTTATGTACAGTGAAACCTAATATTTTTTTAGTCAATCCAAAAAAAAAATATATAAATCGTTTTCGGTTTTAAGATGTTAAAAGCAGAATTTGTTTTTAACAAATATCATTATAATTTTGAAATTGATGTATCTTATATTTATAGCTCTAGTACTAGTTTTGTTTTTAAAATAAAATAAAGATAAGTTGGGCTTTTAAAGAGTTTATTTACTGATCGCGTTATTTTTAATAGCTTTGAATTTTGGTTTGTTCAAGGACGTAATTATTAGGTTCTTGGTAGGGTTGTTCGCCGAAAAACAAAACTTGCGAAAATTTCCCATCTTTATCTACCGTAATAGAATTGTTATTGCGGAAGCTGCACATGCAAAAATGCACATTCCGTAACGCGCAATACGAAAATATAAATAAATAAAATTCCGTAATAAAGCATTGCGAAAGAAAACTTGCAAAACAAATCATTTCGTAAGAATACTTACGAAATAGTTCCTTACGGAAAATGCATTCCGGAATGTGCAGTTACGAAAAAGACGCAAAAGATTTTATGTTACGATATATTTAAGATATTAACTGTTAACAGTTTAAATAATAAATTATAAAATTATAAAAAAATGTTGTCAAATGATTCTTCAAATGTTTATACAAATATACCTAATATGTATATATATATATATATATATATATATATATATATATATATATATATATATATATATATATATATATATATATATATATATATATACATATATATACAGTAAAATCCCGTTAAGTTGGACTCTCAATGAACAGATAAACAGTATGCCTTTCTTTTTAAAAAGTATAAAGGGATGTGTGATAAACAATTAAATACTTTATTATAAAGAACGAGAGATCTCTATAAAGGTAAATGATATCAGAAAGAGTAAAAAGAGACGAAATATATGTGAAACAGCGGGATGTGAACCTGGGTCTACGCGGCCAAATGTCTTAACTGATTGAGCTATACGTTCATTCAACTAAGTGAATAGTAATATTTATTTAATATATAATTAAGAAACTATATAAAACAGAATTTACAGAAAGAGATACGTATGCAAATAGGATTCTATATATCAGGAATTTGAATAGTAATGTGAACCTTTAGATGCTTATAATTAATATCTGGACTCAAAAACTAGTTACTTTTAATGGAACACAAAAGGCTGTCGGAGCCTCAGGGAAATTATATTCAGAAATGATTATATTAGACTCAGAGTTAGCTAGAAATTATTACAAAGTGTTTAGGACAGATGTCTAGTACAAAAAGCAAAAGATTTAAAGCAAAATGATTTATATTATTTGAAAAAGTTGTTTTACGTACATTTCATCATAATTTAAGTAGAACTTAGTAAAGCCCAAGGGAAACGTGTTGAATTAAGCACAATGAACTCAATCTTAAAAAAATAACTAACAGAAGAGAGGTTGTCACTATTGTGAAGGTGACGAAAGATCTGTAATATAGAACATGGAGGTCTTAAAATGCTATCTTAAGTAAAAAGAGTTTGATAAACAAAAGTTACAATGGCTGCGGGATGCGAACCCGGATCTCTGCGGCGAATTATCACGTATCTAACTGATTGAACTATACAATCTTATACTTAATTTATATCTTATTAAAATTAAAAAAC